CAGCTTGATCTCTGTTCAGTAACTGGGAAACTGAGGTCCGTGGAAACTTTATGCATTGCCAAGGATCTCTCAGGACAATCCTGAAAACTGGATGCTTCTGACCTAGCAATGATAACAAGCCATTATTCACTTCTTCCTCACACTCCACACCCACATATTGAAGGTCAGAACTGAGGATGGCAAAGACTGTTGTCCGATCAGAAGGTCAGAGGTTCAAATCCCCGCGACGGGGTGAGCTCCCGTTGCTCGGTCCCTGCTCCTGCCAACCTAGCAGTTCAAAAGCATGTCAAAGTGCAAGTAGATAAATAGGTACTGCTCCAGCACGAAGGTAAACGGCATTTCCATGCGCTGCTCTGGTTCACCAGAAACGGCTTAGTCATGCTGGCCACATGACCCGGAAAAACTGTCTGTGGAGCGGACAAACGCTGGCTCCCTCGGCCTGTAAAGCAAGATGAGCGCCGCAACCCCACAGTCGTTCGCAACTGGACTTAACTGTCAGGGGTCCCTTTACCTTTACTTTACATATTACATGTAACATGGGGCAAGGGCTGTAGCTCAGCAGCAGAGCATGTCTCACATGCAGAAGTTCCCAGGTTCAGTACAGTGGTACCTTGGGTTAAGTACTTAATTCGTTCCGGAGGTCCGTACTTAACCTGAAACTGTTCTTAACCTGAAGCACCACTTTAGCTAATGGGGCCTCCTGCTGCTGCCGCGCCGCCGGAGCACAATTTCTGTTCTCATCCTGAAGCAAAGTTCTTAACCTGAAGCACTATTTCTGGGTTAGCGAAGTCTGTAACCTGAAGTGTATGTAACCTGAAACGTATGTAACCCGAGGTACCACTGTACTTGGCTTTTCCAGACAGGATTGGAAATGTCCCATGCCCGAAACTCTGGAGAACCACAACCAACGAGGATAGGCAATACTGAGCTATATGGACCACTAGTTTGGCTCAGTATAAGGTGGCTTCCTAAGCAGCTTAGATCTCTAAATATTTATGCTTGAACTGACAATTCGGGGCAGGGTGATTGGGATCAGAGAGGCATGAAGGTAGGTGAGAATGGAGCAGGGTTATTATTACACTCCTGATTCTCACTTGTAGCCTCTCCACCCCTGCCATGTGCTCTGAAAAATGGAGCTGATTAAATGGTGAAGGTGGGCAGTGCACAAAGGCTTTCTTGAAAACTGAATGAATGAACACTAAAAAAAAAAAGAGTGCTATGTTGGATATGGACTGGACACCGTGTACACAATGCCCCTGCTGATGACGTGGTAAGGAAAATAAACAAACAAGACCTTGTGTAACTAGCGACAGATCCAAGTAACTGCTGGTATACATATTGTTGAAGGGGAGGGTAGCCAGTGCTCCTTCACTCCAGCATGCCTTGCTGCATCCTGAGATCACTTTGCACCGGGGAAGGTGTAACCTAGTTAAGTCTGCATAGTGCCTTCTCTGTTCCATCTTGAGACGGTTAGGAAACTGCAGGCTGTGGCTTTTTCTCCTCTCCTACAACACCCTCTTGCAAACTCAAAAGTTTGCTTGCTACTCTCTGAATTTGCGTTGGCCCTAATAAAAGGTATGGTGCTTCTGTGTAGTGTGATTCCTTAAAACAAAAGGAAAGGAAAATTCCCTGTGAGAGTGACTAATGATATTACACGGCAAAAATGATCAAGCCCTAGCCAGGTGTGGAGGAGGGCTTTGCACACAATCTTCTCTGTTCCTGCCTAAAGCTTAGGCGGGCATTGTGCCCTAGCCTCTGTTTTGGAAATAAAGGGGCTACCTCAATAGGCAACTCTCTATCTTTCTCGCTCCTTTGTCCCGCTTCATGGCATGTCATTTTGTTTTATGCCTCCCCTCCAGCAGTTTTGGATGTGTGCTTTATTCTTCTTGCCAGTTGCCAACCATTTGCAGATTCTCATGATAAGGGTATTATATTTGCATAACACAACTCATGAACAATGTGCATTTTGAGGCTGACACAGACCAGAGCCCCAGCAATGCATACTCACAAAGGGCCTATTAGCGTCCCATAAGGCTCTGTGGTGTTGACAGGGTGGTGGCCTTTTTTGAACTCCCTTTGGCAAGCGGAAAGACTTTTTTTTCTTTTTAAAGCAATAAACTGAAGATTGGACATAATCCACTACTAACTATTTATACGGAGACAGCATTTAAATGGGCACTGCCAGTTAGGCTTTATTATGAACCTAAAGTTAACAATCATAACCACACAATCTGTTTATTGCTTCTTCTCCTGTGCGGCTTACAGAAGAGCGTGAGGTCAGGATCATTTAGAGCAGCAGTTTCTCCTGCCCCATGGACCATTTGGAAATTTCTGAGGGACTTAACATTTGGGGAAGGGTTGGTTGTTTTTTTTAGGGGGGTGCCGTGACACTGGAGCACAAACAGTTTCATTTCCCCCACAATCTGATACAGCAGCATTCGGTTATGTGCTTTCCATTGCTTTTTATTTCCTTACAGAATGGATTGGCAGGGGCGCCAGAAATTGCAGCTTAATGTATGTTCCGGCAAAACCAGTAGAAAGTACAGTGGTACCTCAGGTTACATACGCTTCAGGTTACATACGCTTCAGGTTACAGACTCTGCTAACTCAGAAATATTACCTCAGGTTAAGAACTTTGCTTCAGGATAAGAACAGAAATCATGCAGTGGCGGCGCAGCGGCAGCAGGAGGCCCCATTAGCTAAAGTGGTGCTTCGGGTTAAGAACAGTTTCAGGTTAAGAACAGACCTCCAGAATGAATTAAGTTCTTAACCCGAGGTACCACTGTATAGCACCCAACTCCTTTTTCGTCCGAGCACATTGCGCCCACTTGCAACCTTTTTCAGTTTTTTGAGCAGGCTGGTATGGGCTCTATGAGGGCCACTACAGCTCCTTTCTCACTCAGCAGATGAGCTCAGTATTTAAAAATAAATAAAAGGCTGATAAATGTATTTGAAATGTGCCTACTGCATGCAGCAATCAGTGGAAACAGGTGCACTTGCATGGTTCGGGCCGCCTGAAACAATGGCCAGGCTGTGCTCAGGTGAGGAGCAAATGGAGATGGGGGTCTGTGGCAAAATGGAACAGTCCGTGGAATGCTACCACACATGTGACAAACACCCCACCCCCCAAATGCAGTAGTGAGCTTCCGTACCAGCAGTTACTGCAGATATATAACAGGTTGTTCTTTATTATTAGATTTTTCTACGCTAAAGGGAAATCTGGGTTAAATGGGGCAGAAGGATGGTGACGATATAATGTGAGTGGTGCAAAAAATAAAATAAAAACGTGTGCATGAGTAGCTGCGATTCCACAATAAACTCCCATCTGAAAGCACCCTTTGTAATTCACATCAGTTTTGAACCTCCAGAGTAAGGTTACCAGATGTCCCCGTTTCCTGGTGACAGTCCCCAAATTTACAAATCAGTCCCCATACAAAATCTATTGAAGTTGAAAACTGTCCCCGGATTCATTGAAAAAAAAATCTGGTAACCTTAGAGTAGAGGACTGCTGAGAAGCATGGAGTTTCTCTGGTTATTTATAGTTAAGACTGCGATGTCCTTGAACCGTAGCATGAAGGTCACATGTTTTCTTTCCTACAAAGGACTTTTCATTCCATTCTTTTATTACGGGGCTATAAGTTTCAGCTCAGACAATTTCATCTAACCTACCCCTGCCAGGTTTAAATTTTTGAATTGGGTGGATAAATATTTGTTATTTCCCCCCACAGCATGCCTGTTATATGCCTGCAATAGAGCATATCTCATGCAGACCTTGAAGAAGGGTGTTAAAGAGGGAGGGAATAATTCCCTTTAGTATAAATGTCATTGGACAGTGAATAAATAGTGTAGACTTGCATCTCCCTTATTCATCACATTTTATAAAATAGTGAGGAGATAAAGTGATGATCCTCACCACTGGTAGGCATACTAGCTCAGCTGTCAAGTCATGCAACCTCAGCATATCTCTAGGTGTCTGGTAGGTGAATGAGCTGTGAATGTGTGTGTCTTTGTGTATGCTCCATATACCATGCCCATCTTAGGTGATTAATGTGAAGATTCCCCCACCCATTTCTGTAAGAACTTGCAAAGCTATGAAATTAAGAGTTAAAACTGAAACGGTGGCCCAGCAAAGTGACAAAGCCAGACTTTTTAATTCCTTCCTCCTAGCTTTCCTAATTGGCTGCCAAATTTCTACAAATGTCTATGTGTTTACAACCCGAAGAGCTGTGCTTCCATGCTGAAAAGATTTTGCTTGTTACTTTTAAATCTCAGTGTTTTGTGCGTGTCTGTGTGTTTTGTGGGCAGGCATTGCCGGGGGGGGGGGGGCGGGCCATCATTGTAAAAAATAATAATTTTTGCTGTATCTGGGTGATTCAGGGCTCTCTCGCATTTTATCTTTTGTGCTTGAAAAAACAACCACCACAACAAAAACTCTAGACAGAGAAAATTCTGTGGTTAATAAAATAAAAATCACGAAAGGAAAAGGAAAAACTTCCCATCATATCCCCCCCTCCTGCAGTTTTATATATAGGGTAGCTGCTGAGAACAATTCTTGAAGTTGTATTTATTATTGTTAGTGGGGTATGATATTTCATGGCAGAAATGATGGATGACAACTTAAATTTGTGTCCAGGGAATGAAGGTGAACTGTGACAGAGTTATTTATCTTGGGAATGGAGGTTAGGGTCAGGCGAGGCTGGGTGCCTGAAGGCACAAGACATTGACAAATTCATCCTGCAGGCCTCATATCTGAAGCCTTTTGTTTTGGATCCTGGCTACTCACTAAGTGACCCCCATCCTTCATTCTGCCAGCCTGCGAAGAAGGATGTGTTGCTGTACCGACACTCCCCTTGCCACTAATTCTTGTCATTCAGTCTCCTGACAGGACTAAAGCAAAACTCTTCCCGCTCCTTGAAAGGGAAGGTTAAAATATTTATTTCAGCTCATAATGGCCTCCCTGATTTACTGGAGTATCATTTTTCCTGTTGCCTTTGTCGTTGCAGGTCACTGGAAGGACTGGAGACATTTAGCGGCTTGGAAGAGCTGATCTTGGACAACAATCTCCTCCGGAATGACCTCCGGTTACCCAGGTTACCACACCTCCATACCCTGATGCTGAACAAGAACCAAATATCCTTCCAAAAGAGAGGGTGGGGAGGGAAGGGGAGAAAGGCCCTGCCAAATGTCGAATAATCCTTATGTGTCAGCCAAATTAAAGTATGTAAAATGTCGCTCGTTTGCAGACAAAGCATCCTCTCCCTTTCTCTTGTCACTCAGAATACTTCAAAGTAATTTATTACAGGTCATTCATAAACGAAATGCCTCGCTATATCTTCCTGTTGCTCCGTTTTTTAGTGCGAGCCCTAAGTTTATGGCTCTGAAGGAATCTTTGTCAATAGATTGAGAGGTGGAAATAGCAGCCAGTTTTGCGCTTCTTAACAGAACCCATCCTGCTTGGGTTCTGTGGCAGGCTGACCTCTAGTGGAATAGTGTGTGCAGTGAAACAAGATTAAAACATTAGGTTGGCTTTTTTCACATGCACATAGAATGCTTCTTAAAGAAAATATACATCTTGTTTAATTTGGCAGCAGCAATCACTTGACGGGAGCCGATAGGGCCATATTAGCCATTAGGCTAGAAAGGGTCAAGAATAGTTTCCCACCCTTTGCTGTTTTGTGAATAACACTGATCGCCAGATTGTAGCAGTGTGGTTGTTACTTCCTGTGCTGGGCTCTTTTAAAACACTGAGACACCCTAAGAGTGGCAGCTGTTCCCTTATCGCACAAACAGCATTGTTGCTTGGTATTATTGGAAATGCTGGTGGTCTGCACTGCAGGACAGACAGCAACGAAGCCATGCAATGTTGCATGCTGAGGCTCAGCTGAAAATATCAGTTCAGTTTTAGCTTAATTTTCATTGTTTTCAAAAGATCTTTCTCTGTGCTTTGTCCAACTCCGGGATGCAAAGAGGGTGGGGGGCAAAGATCCGTGTTAGCAGCTCTCTTCTCAGCCAAGTCTAATACTTTGCCCAAGTAATCAGCCACCATACCCAGGAAGCCTGGACATTTTATAGGCTTTAAAAGAATGGGCTTGGAAGCCTTTGAGTGGCCTGTCGCTAGTAAGGATTGATTAGCAAATTTTTAAGCAGAGAATGACTATCCTTAGGCAAGTCAAAGGACGTAATGACAGTTAAGCTCCTGTAAATTAATCAAGTATTTTACACATACACTCTCATGTAACCTTCACAAACCTGTTACTTGCCAGATGTTTTGGACTACACCTCCCATCAGCCTCTGTGTTGGCTGGGACTGATGGGAGTTGCTGGGCAAAGCATGTGGAGAGTGGCAGGTTGGTGAAGCTGCTCTAGTGGTGCTGATTTGTCAACATACTCATAAAAGTAAGTACAATACAAAGTAATTATTTAGAGCTGCAGAGTGTTCAAAACACTCACATATATGTGGAACACCCCATAAGATACTGCTATTCCATATTAAAGATGATGAAATGAGGGATAGCAAATTAATGGCTATGGCAATATTTGAACTAGGGGGTCCCAATCTCATATTTTATGCCACTACAGTACACACACGGGGTCCAGGATAGAGAAAATGTGTACCCAAACAGGGCCCCATATTTTGAGCTCCATCTTTCTACGCCATATGCAAAATGGCACTTGAGGTTTCCACATTGCTTGCTATGCGGCTGGCAGCAAGTGTTTAGAGGAATCCTCTGTGGTGGCACAAGTGATCCTGGGATGATGCATCATAATTCAGAGATAAGCAAACCAGAAACAGCAGCTAAGACACTTGGCACACCCTATTTCTAGTATGGTGAGTGCCTCATAAGAAATAAACTGTGGGTTAGGTAGTTAAAGGTGGTTAATTGTGGGCACAGTACTTAGTTTCTGGGCTCAATTCAAAGGGCTGGTTATGACCTATAAAGCTTTATGTGGCTCAGGACCTCAGGACCTCAAGGACTGCCTCTACACTACATGCACTGACCTGGACCATGTGACCATTATCTGAGGCCCTATTTCATACAGGAGTTTTGGAGGGTAGCAACATAAGAATCGGCCTTGTGGAATGCTATCCCCCTCCTGGGGGGGGGGGGGAGCCTCTTGGGCTTGCCGATCAGAAGGTCAGCGGTTCGAATCTACATGAAGGGCTTAGCTCCCATTGTTCAGTCCCAGCTCTTGCCAACCTAGCGGTTCGAAAGCATGTCAAAGTGCAAGTAGATAAATAGGTACCACTCCAGCGGGAAGGTAAACGGTGTTTCCATGCACTGCTCTGGTTTCACCAGACCCGGAAAAACTGTCTGCAGACAAACGCTGGCTCCCTCAGCCAGTAAAGCGAGATGAGCATCGCAACTTAACTGTCAGGGGTCCTTTACCTTTACCTTTTTAAATTTGAATGGTGGCATTGTGGCCTCTCTTATTTTGGCGGGACCTATGTTTTATCTGTATAGCTGTGCTTATAAGTTTTTGTTGTTGTTTGGTTTTAATGTCTTCAACATCACCACCACTCTTGCGACTGGCTCCCTCTTTTTCCCCATAGTCTGTCTTCACACCCTCTAAGCACCAATTTGCTCTTGTATTAGTGGGTATGAATTGAGGAGAAACAGAGGGAAGAGGTGACTTAACCCTTTCTCCATGGACTGCTTGCCCTCTAAAGATCATCCTATGCACTCTGCTTTCCTCCCTGTAGTTGAAAAGATGTGGGCCAGCATCTTTTCCCCTCTTAGTGGACTGAACAACTATCCTGGGAAGGGCAATTGTTGTCAAAACAATGGGCCATGGGGGGAAGGATTAAGTCTAATGCTGTTCTGACTAAATCTGGAGCACTGTGGCTGAATTAAAATGGAAAAACTGAACTGTTCATATGCTTCATTCATCCTGCTCCATGTGTTGTTTTGCCCAGTATCTGAAAAATGAGGGTGGGGGTGGAATCCTACCACAAGCATTATGCTGTATATGATAAGTCTCCCAATTGCTTGTTGGCTGCTGCAAATAAGATGCAAATTGGAGTGCATGTAGTGAAGGGAAGGTCTTAAAGGGCAAAAGTTCTGTTTCTATCCTGTGGTGATACCCTTGCCCTTCAGTTATTGAGGTGAAGAAATGGGGTACATTCCATCTGCAAGAGATAACAAAGATAACAGGAAAACATAAATCAATGCTGGGGACAAGCAACATAAAAGAACCAAGCATTTAAGATAGCCACATAATAATTGTTGCACACAACTCCAGGCATGGGAGAGTAAAAGAGTGAATTGTTCATTTAAACCAGTAATTTGTTCCATTGTTTATTTATTGATACATGCAATTTATAGGCTGCCCTTTAGCTGAAGTTCTTTGGGCTGCTTACAGGCATTAAAACAAGCAAAATTATAATAAAGTAGTAAAATACAGCTAATGCAGGGTTGCCATAAACTAACAAGAATCAGTTTAAAAGAGAAAACAGAGAAAATGAGAATTTGCAGCACTAAATCAATTAGAACAAAGGGCAGAGAAACAAAGAGTAAGAAGCAGAGCGGCTTGAATGTGCCCTTCACCTTTTGCCAATTGGCATGAGGTATTAGCACACCTTGCCTCCTCATGATGCTGATCCCCATTTGTGAGCCTTCATTCTGGGATTTCTCAGGCTAGTTTTATGCCAGTTTTTTTTTTTTAACCTGACATGTTACTAGTGCTATTCATGTCACGTGCACCAGCAGTGTGGCAATGTTTGGGTGGGAATGGTTTTCAGCCTGCACAACCAATTTGGCATCCTTTCCCCATACCTATCTTCCATGCCCCATCTTTGATTTCTATGGTGGATCTGTGGGAACCAAGATTTCCCTGTTTTCACTTGCCTTCCAAATCCTAGATGCAAAGCAGGACTCTTAAGGAACTGAACAAGGAGTTCCAAAGAACCTGGGTTTATGTTTCTTCTTAAAGGGTCTGGGGGGCGGCGGCTTTGAAGTCTTTAAGTTAGCACCCATAACACAGTGCCAGATTTAGGAAGGTTCTCAAGCCTTTGGAAACTGTGCACTAGACACTCTTGTATGTACATTTTGACACAAAAGCCCAAACTTTGGAAAAGTCCAGCTCTGATTGCAGAAATACTTGTGGTACTTCTTTCTTTCTTTCTTTCTTTCTTTCTTTCTTTCTTTCTTTCTTGAGCAACCTAGAACTGGACTACAAATCCTTTATAGCCTGTTTTGGGAGTTGTGTGTATGTTTGTAGTGGATGCATTAAATCAACTTCAATGTAAGATTTCATGTGGTCACTCTACCACTTTAATGGCAGGTTTTACTGTTTCCTTCCACTCTGAAGTTGTGTGTGTTATAAACTGTGGAGCAGGAATACCAACGGGTTCCTGGTAACATTTGATCAAGCATTTGTGCCTATGTACCAATTAATGCCACAGTGCCACCAAAAGCACTTTTATTCTTTCTGGTGCATTTGGGCTGCTGTCATTTAACTCCATTTTAAATCTCATTTTTCCTAGGGACTGTAATACATTTAGTGATGAATGTACTGTGAAAGTAACTGCTGCTTGTTGCCATGTTGGAAAAGTTTCATGGCTTTAGCAATCACTAACCATTTCCCCATCCGACATCCATCATTTTGTCAAAGTTTTTAATGTGTTGCAGAGAGTCATCTAGAAAAGAAGAAAAGAGGAGGAAAAAATAATGAAGGAGGGGGACCCAAGACCTTTCATTTTATGCCAAAAAATGACTTGGATGTAGTCCCCTTTCTGCTAGCACCAATTAATGTTACATTTCCCCGCATATAATATGGGTCGTGTGTGTGTGTGTGTGTGTGTGTGTGTGTGTGTGTAAATGGAGTTATTTAACAGTCTTCCTTTTGTTACTGAATCCTTAACTCGTAATCTTGAGTACATAACAGAACTGGAAAGCCTGCTGGATCATCTGGTTGAAGCAGTGCCTTCCTTGGAGTACCTGAGTTTGCTTGGAAATACAGCATGCCCAAATGAACTAGTCTGCAAAGACAAGGATGAAGGAGACTATCAGAGGTACAGGTTAGTATCTTGGATTATACATGCATTACTTTCAATTGTAAAATATTTAGTATTGTATTCAGCTAACCTCTGCTCCGAGTAGTAGACCCACTGAAATTAATGGATCAAGGTTGTCACAGTCATTTACAGTAAGCCTACAACTTGTGCACATTCAGCTTTACAGTACATGCGTGGCAAAATAAAAAATAAAAAGAGGGTGGAGTTTCAGGAAAAATGACAGCGGTAATCCCACCCATCATTGAACCCAGTGGGTTTTGTTTATACACAATTTTGGCTTTAGGCGCAGTCCATGGAATGTAACCCCCATGTAAGTTATGGGCCTGCTGTCCTTTGTTTGGTCTACTCTGAGTAAAAGATAGTTGATTACAACCTTCAACCAACTTTAAATGGCTGCTGAAGTAAAAACTAAGAGCTGTGTATAGGATCTAATGTAATCTAATGGCAATGTGTGAAAAGGTTACGGAATCATCCTCTCCCTGCCTCTATTCCATGGGTAGGCAAACTAAGGCCCGAGGCCGGATCCGGCCCAATCGCCTTCTAAATCCGGCCCGTGGACGGTCCAGGAATCAGCGTGTTTTTACATGAGTAGAATGTGCCCTTTTATTTAAAATGCATCTCTGTGTTATTTGTGGGGCATAGGAATTTGTTCATTTCCCCCCCCCCAAAAAAAAAGTAGTCTGGCCCCGCACAAGGTCTGAGGTCCAGTGGACTGGCCCACTGCTCAAAAAGTTTCCTGACCCCTGATCTATTCACAACAGAGGCCCTTTTATGAGGCAAGGTGAGGTGACCAGTTCAAGTATGTGGGAGCGATTTTGGGTCACCAGGCCTCCTGAAGCCCAGAGCGTGAGAGCCATGGAGTAAAACCTGGTGGGAGCCTTGTTGTGCCTAGTGGGAGCGGAAGATGCCACCTGGTGTGTCACGATAGAGGGACTACAGGGATAGAGTATGAAGGACCTAGGTGGGGGGACTGGCAAAACCTCTGAAACCAAGCATAAAAAACCCTGCATACCCCTCATTTCTCACCCCTCACCCTCATAATTTAGTCCTTTCCATGGAGGCATTGATAAGGAAGCTTAAGCCTCTGAAATCTCAGGTCACCACACTGAGGCCCAGGAAAACACGAGCTATTAATGATGGCAGAATGAGACCTAGGCAGATCTGAGCCAGACCTGTACAATCCACTGGAAAGTTCTCTGGCACAGATGTTATTGAAAAAGATTCAGTGATATGAATATTTAGCCTCATATAGGACCTATGCACATATACCCAGCAAATTGCAGCAGCTGTGTATATAAGACCTGATATGGATTTGCATGTTCCTGTAAGTGGTGAGTTCTTGTAATTCCTATTGTGTTACAAGCCCACCAGCAAGCCCATACATTTCTATATAGGTGATCACATGGGGGCCACCCAAGCACCAGCAATCAGCTGTTTAATTTTGATCTGGTAACATCTACGGCAACTTAACCAGATCATGAAATTATGTGTTTCCCCAGTCCACATAATTGGCTGTCGTTGTCAAGGAAACACACAACACTATAACTGCAGGACCCCAGAAAGTGGCCCCAGACCTTCATTTCAAAGACAGGCATGCATTCAGTGTTAACATGTATTTCTTGCAACAGGTGATGTAAGATGCAAGGTAGTGCTTTAATGATGCAGTCACTGAGTCATGAGCCTTGTATTTTAGATAGGATGGCAAAATTCAAGCAAACTGCATGCCATTTTCTACATAAGCATTCCACATAACCATGTTGCTCTCAAGTTAAACCTACCCACCTATTTCCAGCCTATCAGACAAGCATTCTGAAATGATATGTGAGCAAACACTGACTGTACAGTTCATAAACTTAGAACTGTATGTTCATGCTTCCAGCATAAAAAGTGTTAGAAAGCTGAAAGGAGGCTTATCCAGAAGAGACATGACATGGAGTCCATGAGATGGTTTGCTGTGGTTTTTAGCAGTGCTGCAGTAATCTGGACAGGCCTCCGAACCTGATCTGTAGTGGCTATTTCAAGTTGAGTGCTTCAGTCTCTTTCGAAAATAGATTCCGAACTGTCTTTAGATACGTCTAATGTGCCAACTTCTGAATTGTACATAAATGTGCCATTTTGGCTTTTGCTAAGTGGCCTAGTTTGAATAAAATATTTTCCCATCGCCTTAACCCCAAACTGGAAGGCACGTTGGCTGTCCTGCGTACAAAGAGCCTAATAGTGGTGTTGCCATGTAAATTTATGAGACATTTTCACCACAGAATTGCTTAAAAATGAATGATATCGCTACAGTTTACTGTTTTTCACTTTAAGTACATTTTTCTGACAATATGCCTCCTATTAATCATTTAAGCAAAAGTAGTTCCTTAAAGGAGCTATTCAGAGGCAAGAATCCATGGTTCATTTAATGCTGTCTGGGGGGAAAAAGTCTTGTTGAGTGACATTCTCTGTGGTTATGTGATGTAATATTTATAATATGTCACACAGCTATACATCAAAACAATCATGGCTGTTGTTGCATTTCCATGCAAAATGTTGATTTTTTTTTTTAAGGGTCAAGATAGTTTTAGCTCATATTAAGGCAAACCATCATGCCAAAACCAGGAGGAGAATCTTACTTTGAAAAGGTTAATTAAAATAGGTTTTAAAGTGAATATTATTCCGATTTGCATCGTATTACTGCAGTGGAACTGAAGTGAATCTCTCTTATCACTTTCTTTTCTCCTGTACAACTAGCATTGAATGTTCTTCATTATTGCAGATGCAGTATTAGTTTCCCCATAAGATATATATTGCACCTGCCATAAAAATAACAAGATTTAAAGACCAAAGATGAAACTAATGAAAACAGGTTCTATAATATGTGACTAAGGGGCAATTCATTGAACCTACCTTTTCACACGCTTATCTCAAAAGCTCTTATCTGTCCTTTCCAAGCGCCCCTGGAGAAATAGGGACAGAGATGCAGGCCCCCTCCTTCCCACCCAAACTTGTGAAACCTGTAGGATCTGGTGTCAACTATTGGCATTAAGGTATTATTTCTACAATCATTGCTTCTATAAGCACAGCTGCTTATAGAAGCTCCCATACTTCACTGCTTTAAACTGGACTACATTTTGGCCCATACTAAAGTGTACACAGGCTAATGTTTAATCCAGTCGCCTTCATATATTCCTAAGCAAGCTGCATAAACACAATAATATATTTATTTTGCAGTAAAAAAAAAGATAGGGAGTGAATTATTAAGGTGGAACTAAGAGGCTATTCATCTGTAATAGTGTTGCTTGCTGAATAGGAAGCAGAACTTATTTCCTTTGAGTAAAGGTTTTGGAAAGACCTTGGTTGTGGAGATGGGCATTGCTAGATAGATAGATAGATAGATAGATAGATAGATAGACAGACAGATGCAGTCCGGAACCACAGTTTTAATTCCACATTCAGCCACTTGCAAAAAAAAAAAAAAGCAGTGCCACAGCAGTGCTGAAGTCCCTCAGCATGGAAGCAACCTGAGTGTTAAGCCAGTTGTGAGCCAGTGTGGTGTAGTGGTTAAGAGCAGTGGACTCGTAATCTGGTGAACCGGGTCCGCTTCCCCGCTCCTCCACATGCAGCTGCTGGGTGACCTTGGGCTAGTCACACTTCTCTGAAGTCTCTCAGCCCCACTCACCTCAAGAGTGTTTGTTGTGGGGGAGGAAGGGAAAGGAGAATGTTAGCCACTTTGAGACTCCTTAAAGGGAGTGAAAGGCGGGATATCAAATTCAAACTCTCCTTCTTCTTCTTCTTCTTCTTCTTCTTCTTCTTCTTCTTCTTCTTCTTCTTCTTCTTAACTGAGAATCAATAACTTTTCTCTTCACATGTGAATCTTTGTTTCTAGCAGCTGTCTGAACCACATGGCATTGGCAAGTAAACTTTACAACACTTTACACAAACTTAAAGGGCTTTTTAGTGTCTTGCCCCAAGGTGGCAGAAAAAGAAATCCAAAATGTTTTCGTGCTAAATACACCAATACCCCAGTAAAATTATATCCGAGCCATTCCTGTACTTTTTTAGTTCTCTCCTGTCCCTGCAAAATAGGCATTATATATAGTGAAAAAGTAGAGAATAAATGGTTGTCTAAATCTCGTTGCGCACATTAAAAAACCCCACATATCTCAGACTTAAATAATTTTGAATGAAATCTAGGAACAAAACAAAAATGTCGAACAAGAATGGATCATACTGTATTGTGTGTTTGTGTGTATATATAAATATAAATAACATTATTTTTCAAACTTTCTCCCATTGTACTCAAGGCAATTTGCAATATAAATTAATGGCTTACAGTCTAAGAGGCACATTACAAATGGAAAGTGGTTCACGGAGTAAAATATGATGCCTCTGTTAGAAATTAAATATGCATTTGAAAAGATAGCAACATAACAGCTCTGGATTTTTGTGAAATTAATAAATATATCAGATTCAATTAATTTATTTTTTGCGTGATTAATAATGCACTTGAGTTATTACTATTAATTATGAATAATCAGTTATCGTTTCCTACCAAGTATCATTGTGTAGAAACGACTGCCTGCTTTTTTTGGTCTTAAAACTTTATTCATAATCAAAACATAGTGTAGGGTGATATGTCAGTAGAGAAACATTCCAGTATTGAGAAAAAGTAACGTGACTAGCAAAGCAGCATAAATGGGAAATAACCTCAGCTGCAGTCTCTGCTTTGAAGATCTCCAGAAAGCACAGGCCATGACCTAGAGATCAAAGTCACAGGGAGTCAACACAATAATTGCTAGTTACTTGTCTTGTACCAGCAGCACTTGTTCTGTCTTGGGGGTCTATTGTTTGCGGTAAAAACACAAACCATGCTATTATTAGATTGTGAAAAATTGTCTTGGTCAGAATATATTGAAGTTTAAATATAGGTGGCCTTATTTGTCTTTTAATCAGTAAGATACAAAGTGCCCAAAGCCCAAACACAGTTTTAGAGTTTGTTGTCCCCTTGAAAACCCAGATATGCATGGAATTCACCCAATAC